GCTGGGAATTGAAGTCCACTCATCTTAAAGTGGCCAAGTTTGGACAACACTGAGCTAAATGCTTCAAATATGGTATTGAGGTTCTTAGTTTCTAACTCCATAGTCCACTGCCAGGAGAGCCTGGTGGTGTTTGGTGCAACAGGCCAAAGCTTTTGCATGGAAAAAGGCTTTTCTATGTGATTATTTAGACCAGACTCAGAGGACCCATCTACCAGGACTGGCTTTCTTTTTTATTTTAGCTGTACCTATAACTTCAGGCAGAAGGACACTGTAGAACTCAGTAGCAAAGATCCCAAATGAAAATGCATAAAATTGTAGTTGTGATTGCTTAAGTATGGAAGGCAGGGGGCACCAAAGGAGTTATTTTATCCAAGACACCTTTGTTTATGCATTTGAATTCTTGCGGAAAAAAAAAATACAGAATGCAGATTCCTTTGCCATATCAATTTATTTTCACCACAATTCTGTGATCTTTAAAGATTGAAAACATACAACATTTTCTTGAGCTACAGTCTCAGAGCATAATATTTACTCTTTCCCCCAATTACCCAGTTATCCACCACCAACCTCAGAGAAGAAATTCAAAAATCAAATTTTTTAAACAAAAATTAAAAATCTTTAATCGCAACCTTCACTTATCTTACCATTAAATCTCCAATCTCCTCATTTTGACAAATCTTCCAGTAAATATGGAGAAGGTTCTTCTTTCCTAACTAATATAAGATCAGGATCATGAGAAGATGCATTTCTGCATTCCAGTGTGGTGACATTGAAATGAAATAGCCCACCGGCTAGCTCAGACATTCCTATAGGGTAGGAACATGCATTCTTTGTTGTACATCCTTGGTAACTGTACTTGTCGGTGTGATTTCCAACTGGGGGTAGGAAAAAGACAGAAAAAGCATATCTGAGACTTTATAGTGTAGAAAGCAATGCTGGGGTCTGTTATTTACACTGCTTGGCCTTGATGCCCTGTGAATCTCTGAAACACCAGAGATATTTAGTTCATGGAAACGAAATAGATCATTTATTATTATGATAATTTTAAAAAGATTTCAAAACTACCGTACATTTGGACAATATGCAAGAAATTTGGAATGGAGAATTGGAGTAATCTATATTATTCAACAATGGCTTCACGTTTTTAGGTATATTTCTTAAGACATAAACTTGGCTAGTTCAGCAAAAACAAACAAACAACTCTTTAGGTAGTTTAACATTGGATTTTAGTTTTTTTTTTTTTTACCATATATCTTTTTAAATATATGCAATAGAGTAAGCTTCATTTTTAAGCCATATAGTTCTGTGATATAAGAGTAATATAGTCACATTGTTGTATTGTTATTTAGTTTATATTTAGTATAACAATTAACTTTTTAAAAAGAAATGGTATTTATTTATTATCTTATCATCTCTATATCTCTCTGTCTCTCTCTCTATCATCACATCTATATAGCTGCCCATTTCACTAAACGTGACTCTGGGCAGCATACAATCAATAGTTAAAACAATATCACAACTATTAAAATGCCTTAAAAATAAATAAAAACAAGATAAATAAGGTAATAAAAAACAAGATTGTGGGAGAACACTCATCTAAACACAGTACAACCATTGCACAGGCTCTCCATGGGATCCCCAAGGTTGCTGGAAGAACCAGGTTTTCAGAGCCTTTTGAAAGGGTAACAGGGATGGGGCTAACCTCACCTCTGGGGGGATGATGTTCTAGAAGGCAAGAGCCACAGCAGAAAAGGCATGCCATCTGGGTCCCATCAGATGAAGCTCTTTAGCAGATGGGACCCACAACATATCCCTCCTGCTGGGCCTGATGGGACGAGTAGATGTGATCAGGAAGAGGTGGGCCCTCAGATAACTTGGACCCAGGCTATGTAGGGCTTAAAAGGTCAAAACCAGCACCTTGAATTGCACCTGGAAGCAAACTGGCAGCCAATGCTGCTCACAGAACAGAGGTGTAACATGTGCCATCCTAGAGGCACACATAGCTGTCTGTGCAGCCTCATTCTGCACCAATTGAAGCTTCCAGATACTCTTCAGGGGCAGCCCTATGTACAGCACATTACAATAATCCACTCTGGAGGTGGCCAGGATGTGAGTGACTCTGAATAGACCCTCATGGTCCAGGAAAGGGTGCAACTAACACACAACATGAAGCTGTGCAAAGGCCCTCCTAGCCTCGACTGCCACCTGCTCCTTGAGCAGGAGTCATGAGTCTAGAAGGACCCCCAGATTGTGCACAGGGTCTGTCTGGGGCAGTGCAACCCCATCCAGAACCAAAGATGATAAAGTCCAGATACAGAAGGCCCCAAAACCCAAAGCCACTCAGTCTTGCCAGGGTTCAGTTGAAGCCTGCTACAGTATTCCCCATCCAGAGCCCCACAGCCTCCAGGCACCGGGACAAGACATTCACAGCATTGCTTAATTCACCAGGGGCAGAGATGTATAATTAGGTATCATCAGCATACTGATGGTACCTCACCCCATGGTGATGGATGATCTCATCTAGTAGCTTCATGTAGATGTCAAATAGAAGTGGAGAGTACTAAACCCTGCAGCATCCTATATAGTAGGGGCTGCAAGCGGGACTTCTTACTCCCAGTCAATATTGCCTGGTACTGGCCCTGTAGGAAGGAAGAGAACCAACTCAATACTGTGCCGCCCACTTGCAACCCACAGAGCCGATCAGGAAGGATATCATGGTTCATGGTATTGAAGGCTGCTAAGAGGTCAAGGAGAGCAAGGACAGATGCCCTATCTTTGTCCCACTCCTGTCAGAGATCATTCAAAAGCATGACCAATGCCATTTCTGTCCCATGCCCAGGCCTGAATCCTGACTGAAAGGGCTCCAGATAATTTGCTTCATCCAGGACCTGATGAAGTTGCTGTGCAACCACCTTCTCTACAACCTTTCCTAAGAAAAAGAGGTTAGATACTGGCAAAAATTGTCCAGTTTGGTGGGATCCAGCAATGGCTTCTTGAGGAGCGGGCAGACCGGAATGACCCCTTCTCTCATGGATGAATTAATCACCGCTAGGACACAACCACACGACACCCCCTGGGCAGCCTTAACTAGCCAGGAGAAGCATGGATCTAAGGAGCAGTCATAAGAACTCTGTCCACTTCCTCAAAGTTCAAGCTGTTCCCAGATAACCAGGCAAGACTGTGCCCCAGGCATCTCTACCAGACCTGTACCAAAGCTGGCATCTAACTGGGAATGAATTTGAGCAATTTTGTCGGACAGATGCTCTGCAAATTCTTCTGCACAGCCCTGTAGGTGAACTTCCAAGTCCTTCTTCCCCAGGAAGGCTCGAGCCACCCTAAACAAGGCTGCCGGGTGGCTATCCAGAGACGCAATAAAGGCAGAGAGGTATTGTCACGTCACTGCCCTTACGCCACTAGATAGACCTTAATAGTGGCTCTCACTCGTGTTTGATCGAGTTCATCCCTCATCAACCTCCAGTGGCACTCTGGATGTCACTTCTCCCATTTCATCTTCCTCAGCTCTTCCATAAACCACAGAGAGCAACAGAATCCATGGGAGAGGGGATCTCATGTGTGTGACCAGATCCAAAGACTCAGCTACCCTCTCTTTCCAAGTAACAACCAAGGCCTCAGCTGGACCATGGAGAAGGCCACCAGGAATAACCCCCAGTTATAATTGTATATTTTTGAAGTTTAAATAAAATAAAATAAAGAAAACAAAAGATTGTGTTTGTGGGGTTGTAAGCAAGTTAGGTGGAATTGTCTAATTATTCCATCCTGGATTTTTTTTTTTTTTAATGTGGAAAAGGACTCAACTATTTCTTACAATGGATGCTGGTTTTTGTTTATTCTTCTAAGGCAGTGTTTCTCAACCTTGGCAGCTTGACGATGTGTGGACTTCAACTCCATGCTGGCTGGGGAATTCTGGGAGTTGAAATCCACAATTCTTCAAGTTGCCAGAGTTGAGAAACACTGCTCCGTTAATGCAACATGAGAAACTGTTGTGAGCTGCCAGATGTGCTATCACAAAACATTGAAAAATTAAAATGTATCCTGCATTGGATTAGTGCTATTTATAAACTGGAGGAATTGCTCTGGATGAGACATTAATGGAACCACAGAGATCTTTGAAAAACCTGATAGTGAAGGATAAATGCATTTAAATCTGGTTACCATGTATTAGCTGCATTATAATGTTTCTTCAAATAGATCACCTTCATCTATAAAAAATGTTGAAAGAGAGGAAGACAGGAAGGCAGGCAGGCAGGCAGGCAGGAAGATCTACTTACATGCCTGGACACTAAAAGCCGTGTTGACACACTGATCCTGTTTGTCGAGGCAGATCACAGACTGATGGCCTTCACAAGAATCCGCATCTTGCGCGTAGCAGCCTAGGCACTGTAACCCATTTGGTTGAAACTCATCATAATTTGGCACTGGAGAGAGCAACTTTTCCAGTTAGCAAAGTTTCATAACAACCACTAACCCTTTTCATGTCTATTACAGCCTCCTCCAACTTGACATTCTTTTAAATATCTGGCTCAATTCCCAAGATTCCCAGCTAGGATGGGATCTAGAAACCCAAGATTTTCTAGGATAATTGATTGATGGAGCTCAGAGTATGGATGAACATCATGCAAGATAGATTTCTATGAATACTCCCCCTCCCCTGCCTACTTTCACTGACCAACTCATATTGGGAGAAAAATCTCCAATATAAAGCTATTCCCTAGATAGAGGCATTGGTACCAGAAATGTTCTTTGCTTATTGTATAGCCAATTGCTGTTAAGGATTTAAAGAAACTGTCACCCACTCTGTAACCTTGAATCTGTGCAGTGAGGTTAGTTACCCCATCAGTGTAGAATAACACCTCTTCTGAGTTGCTGCATTGCTTACCAGTAGGCTTCTGAGCCAACTCAAAGTGCTGGTCATTATCTTTAAAGGCCTTCATGGTATAGCACCATTTTGTATCAGAGACACCTTGCCAGAATAGAATCTGCCCATTCCATTTGGACTTCTAGGGAAGACCTGTTCAGGGTCTCCTGTCCTCAAAAGGATCATGAGATGTACACCAGGTGCATCATAGACCTCCTCACCTTCAGAAGTAGCAGCAGCCCAACCCTCCTTGCATTTAGGAAGTAGGTTAAATTGGGACTAGTCCAGTGATATTTGGCACTCTGTCTGGGTGGCCATCATAGTTAGCTGAATGTTATTGTCACTTTAGATGTTTTCTTCTTATGGCATTGCTTCTTTTTATTGAGTTATTGTATGCTGCTCAGAGTCTATATGGCTTGGAGCAGTTGATAAAATATTATTTTAAAAACATAATAAATAAATAATTGCTCAAATACCTGGAGTTTGAGAAGGATGCATTAAGGTGTAGATACTTACAGTGAAGAGAGTCTGCATTACAGCCATCAGTCTGGCAACAGTGACCATTGCTCAGTTCATGTCTGCCATCTACTGTTGTTGAGCTGTAGAAGCCTTCATAACATTCCTCAGGCTTTGAGCATCTCTTGATCATTAAACTGATGGAAATATTGGCTGCAGAAGGGATTAAAAAAAAGAATGTGAACCTCAGCAGAAAATGAAGAAATACATATCAAACATCTGGCTATTTTATTTTGGAAGAAATAGCTGAATATGGATATTAATTTCTGTATTCATTAATATCCTGCATATCCTGCCTTTTTGTTTAGGAGCTCATAGCATTCCCATTTGTTATTTTTCCCTATAAAAATCATCAGGGTTAGTTGGATTGAGAGAGCGTGACTGACCCCAAACTACTGAGTGAACTTCCATGGCTGAGCCCCCCCCTTTCTAGTCCAGCACATTTACCACTATACTAGCTCTTGGACTCAGAGAGAATGGCTGGCCCAAAACCTCCAGTTAATCTTCTGCAGCTGAGGAGAGACTAGAACTTTGATCTTCTGTCTCCTAATCCTAACTTTAACTACTAAACCTCTATGGTTTTCTAGTAGATGTTGACTCCTTTTTGTATAGTGTCTAACCTCCCCTTTTGGGGGAAGGTGGTTGAAAAGGTGGTTGTGCAGCAGCTTCAGAGGACCTGGGAAGAAGAGGATTATCTGGATCCCTTTCAGTTGGGATTCAGGCCCTGGTATAAGATGGAAATGGCATTTGTCGTACTTTTGGATGACCTCTGGCAAGGGTGGGATGGGAGTTGTGCATCCATCCTTGCCCTACTTGACCCCTCTGTGGCTTTTGATACCATCAGCTATGGTATCCTTCTGAATCAGTTCAGAGGATTGGGGGTGGGCAGCACAGTATTGGGGGTAGGCGGCACTGGTTCGCCTCCAGTCAATGGTGACAGGAGAGGGGAAGTCCTGTCCTTGGCCCCTGCTATGTGGGATGCCGCAGGACTTAATGCTCTCTCCTCTCCTGTTTAACATCTACATGAGGCTGCTGGGTGAGATCATCCGTCACCATGAGATCATCTATCACCATGCTGATGATACCCAATTATACATCTCTGCCCCTGGCAAATTAAGTGATGCTGTGAATGTCTTATCCCGGTGCCTGGAGGCTGAGAGGGTCTGGATGGGGAACAAGAGGCTTCAGCTGAACCTTGGCAAGACTGAGTGGCTGTGGGTTTTGGGGCCTGCCAGTTCTAGGGCTATGCTATCTTTGGTACTGAATGGGGTTGCACTGCCCCAGACAGACCCTGTGCGCAATCTGGGGGTCCTCCTGGACTCACGACTCCTGCTCAAAGAGCAGGTGGCAGTCGTGGCTAGGAGGGCCTTTGCACAGCTTCATGTTGTGCACCAGTTGGACCCATTCCTAGATCAGGGGGCTCTGCTCAGAGTCACTCATGCCCTAGTCACCTCCAGATTGGACTACTGTAATGAGCTCTACATGGGGCTGTTCTTGAAGAGTATCCAGAAGCTTCAGCTACTGCAGAATGCAGTGGCGTGGGCAGTTATGTATGCTTCCAGAACAGCACATGTTACACCTCTGCTCTGTGAACTGCATTGTTTGCCAGTTTGCCTCTGGATCCAATTCGAGGTGCTGGTTTTAGCCTTTAAAGCCCTTCTTGGCATGGGACTGGGTTATCTAAGGGACCGCCTCTCCCCAGTTACATCTGCCCATTCCATTAGATCTGGCAGGGAGGGCATGCTGCAAGTCCTGTCTGTTAGGGAATTACATTTGGTGGGTCCCAGGAGGTGGGCTTTTTCTGCTGTGGCGCCCGCCTTGTGGAACAGTGTCCCCCCGGAAGTGAGGTTAGCTCCATCCCTGTTAACGTTCCAAAGTCCCTCAAGACCTGGCTATGTCACATTTTAAGATGACTCCATCATTGTAGTTAATATACACTCTCTCCTGTGCCTTGATTTTTTAATATTTTAAGAATAATAGATATATAAAAAGTCATTATTAAAAGTATAAAACAATCATTATAAGTTTTACTTATTGTTGTATGCTGCCCAGAATCACTTTTTGTGAGATGGGCGGCCAAATCAATTTGATAAATAAATAAATAAATAAATAATTTTATGTATTCCTGAGAAACATCTGAGCACGGGTATCTGTAGAATCTGGAGGTTTTGTCAGAATGATGAACTTTGCATTGTGACATCGTAATGTAAGCTCCACCCACTAGGCTTGGGATGTTGCAATGCAAATACATACAAAAGGGGCAGAGTTTATATTGCTACATCATGATGTATGTTTCATCATTTGTCCTCCCTTGTCCCCTTGTAGATGCCAATGCACCTAAGTTTAAAGAATTACATCTGGCAAGTAACACTGGACATTTCAACCTCCTACTGTCCACATCCCCAAAAGAAAGCTGCCCAGATTCTCCTTGAACACATCCACTGAAAGGTCCAGTGAAGGGAAACCCACCAACTCAGTAGTATTTTAGTCCAAACACACACAGGTTATTCCTTGATGGTCCAGAAGCCAGGTGATGAATATGCTGTAGAACAAACACAGTTTTCACTCACTTAAAGTATTATTTGTAATCATAGAAGAGCACATTTTTTCTTCATTTTTGCACTCCACCATCTTCACATCCTCTTCTGTACATTCTTTTCCAAAGACAAGACATGTTTGGCACTTCAGAGATGCCACTACAAACAGAAGAGATAGTCATACCAATCATCAGTGCTACCTTTGTAAATTCTGCTATCCTAGCTTTTAAGTTCAAGACTACTGTTATAATCTGGTTTACTAGGCATGCATCTCCAACTGGTTCTTCTGCTGGGGACATGTATGGAAGGGTGGGGAGAATGCAATGAGCTCAGCTTTTGCAAATGGAAGATGAGTTGAGACCAAGGGAGAGATTCACCCCCTCACCCCTCTAACTTGTTTTAATATGAAACTGGGTCTTCTTCTTCTTCTCCTCCTCCTCTGGCTTTTATGCTACTGAAGCCAATTTTTTGAACAAGTCATTTGGATGCTGGCAGAGGCCATTTTTCTGCAAGAACCAACTCATCTACTCTGAATTATTGTTGATATGGACCTTTGAATCACTCTTGACTCCTGGTAATGCAGGTTTTTTGGTAACAGTTTGGTTGTGGTTTGCCAATACCTTCTTCCTGGGGCCGAGAGACAGTGACTGGCCCTAAGTCACCTTCCTAGCTCTTGTGCCTCATGGAAGACTAGAATTCATATCTCCCCATTCCTAGTCCAAAACCTTCAGCCACTACACCAAATCGGCTCTCATGATACTCTGAAGAGACTATCATTAATCCTGCATCCACTCGTACAACAAGTTACCAGAGACTTCCCCAACCTGCCTGCCCTCCACCTATTATGCTTCCCTTTCTTGAAGTCTCCTGAACTTTCTGTATCTTGGTGTTATGCAAATTAAGTTATTTACCTGTTGAGAAGATTGAAGAGAAGAGACAGAAGACAACAATTTCAGCAGCCATCATGTTTGTGGAACTACTCAACTGCTTTTCCTGAAGCCAACTCTTGCACATCTTGGTATCTGGGGAAATATATTTGAAGAATTAGCTAGACAGGGTGGAATGCAAGAGGTGAATGATGGGTTCACAGAGGATAACAAACTCAGGCAGGACAGAAGCCAAATTCCATTAGGAAAGATAGTGTTTATTTTGTAACCCTAACCCTAATCACATCCCTGTTTGATCACAGAGCAAATTTATTTTGTATTTATTTTGTAATACAAAATAAACTCTGCTCTGCAATCAAAGGGGGTTGTGATTTCTTGTTTATTACATGTCTACCTCTTACCTCTGCATTTTCTTAGGGGCTTACTCTACCTTCTAAAGCTTATTTTATATCTTACCATGATTCTGTATCTGATTTGTACACTTTTCCCTTCTTAATTTCTATTGTGTTTCATCTTATTTCCTTACTTTTATTTATTTGGACCTTTTTCGGACCTTTTTCTGATCCTACAGTTCTCCATACTATATACTTCAGTACTTTATTATATATCTCTGACCTTTTCCATTATTATATTTTTATTTTTGTAGGCAGGCTTTAGCTTCTGACCCTTAGTTTCTATTATCTATACTTACTGGCCTCCCACTCTACCTGTAAGAAATAAGGATTAAATTACAGATACAATTTAAGATTATATGAAACAACACTTTGCTTCTTATATTATAACTGTAATTATAATCCTTCTCTCCCTGGATTCAGAGGTGTTAGATAACTATTGCCCAATCACCCTTTTTCCTTTTCTAGTGAAAATAATTGAGATGGTGGTGAAGGACTAATTACAGAGTGCCTTAAATCTGGACCTTTTCAGTTGGGTTCAGACCTGGGCATGGGATAGCTTTGGTCATACAAGTAGATGACCTTTGTCAAAATCTGGATTGGTGTAGTAAACCTGTTGTGATGGAATATATCTATGAGGAGGAGGGTGATGTGGGAGATCGAGGCTATCATGAGGGAGGGGGTGCAGTCCAGGAGGGGGGAGGAGGCAAGAGGCAACACAGTCTGCAGGGGGAGCGTAGGAAGCAAAAGAGGTTCAGGATAGCCGCTCCCTAGAATCTCCCAGGGTATATCCACTAGTTGCTGTAGTATAGATTGAGTGGGCAAGATTCTATCTATAAGGTGCAAGCAGATAAAGGAACTCTACTTGACTGGACTGTTTCATCGTTGTTCTTGGGCCGGGCCTGACACCTGTCTTGGTCTTTTTAGACTCTCATGGGTTTTGATACCATTGGCCATTGTCTTCTACTGGACCGGCTTTGGGGTTGGGGGGTTGATTGGAAGCACTAATTTGCAGTGGTTCCACTTTTTCTCAGTGGACAGTTTCAGACAGCGATGTTGGAGAGGAGAGGCCAACTTGGTAGCTGCTCCCTTGTGGGATGCCTCAGGGGGTAGTCCTCTCTCCCCTACAGTTTAACATCTACATGAAACTCCTGGGAGAGGTTGTCTGTTAGCTCGGGGTTTAATACCATCAGTATGCTGATGAGATTCAGCTTGACATCTTTACCCCAGGGTGCTGGTGCTGTGCTGGTGAGGCTGGTAAGGCCTTGTCAGTGTCTGAAGTGCCACCACATTTTCAAATTTGCAGCCCTCAGTTTGAAAAATTTGCGCACCCTTGCTGCGAGTACCATGCCGAATTGACTTCACTATGGCCACTCACTGCAAACCCAGAATCTTTTGTCTGTTTCTTAATTCAAGGGAGAAACTGATTCTTCTTCGATCAGATACTTTGATCCATAGTCTCTGCTTTGACCCTCCCCTTCAGCAACTCCCTTCCCTTACAATCCCCAACACATATCTGCCAAGTGTCTTTTTATCCTCTTTCCCAAATATGGTCATCAAAAGTAGAGAGAGAAGCCCTGAAAAGACACCATTCATCTGGATTGTCCAGACAAGTCCTCCTAAAATGAGTTATAAGTAGAAAAAAAAAATACTTGCATTCCCTACATGAAAAACAAAGTATTTAATATACAAAGTATTACATACAAAGTATGTAAAAAAGCTAGAAAATTTTGGATTCAAATACATACAATGATTCAGAGGATTTTAAAGATTAATATACAGTTGAGATCAGAGGTTTTTCTTTTGGGATTGATGGGCAAAAAGCTGGAAAAAAGTCATGAAACTTTGTGTTTGTATATGATAACCATAGGGAGATTATTGTAGGCGCAAAGATAGAAAGATTCGGCACGACCCACAATGGAGGAATGGCTGGTGAAGATGATGGAACTTGCTGAGATGGCCAAATTGACTTCTTTGGTCACAGAAAAGACACTATCTATGTTTATTGCTGACTGGAAACCCTTTATAGACTTTTTGCATAAAGCAGAAAAAATGAACTTATGATTTATGGTTTTGATGATTAGTCAGGATAGATTATAGACAGAAGTCATGTTGTAACCTTAGAGTAGGAGGTAAATTTATAATTGTACTTATACCTGCTGTAAAGAAGATTGGAAGCCACTTCTTTATATCTTTTTTCTTTCTTTTCTATTTTTCTATTACTTTTTTTCCTTTCTTGCACTTTTAGCTTTCTCTTTGATTTCTTTCTTTTTCTTTTTTCTTTCTTTTCTATTTTTCTATTACTTTTTTTCCTTTCTTGCACTTTTAGCTTTCTCTTTGATTTCTTTCTTTTTCTTTTTTCTTTCTTTTCTATTTTTCTATTACTTTTTTTCCTTTCTTGCACTTTTAGCTTTCTCTTTGATTTCTTTCTTTTTCTTTTTTCTTTCTTATTTTGTAATAGTTCGTATTAGTTTAGATAGATAGATAGTATTTAATGAGGGAGAAATGCAAGGGGTAAAGAGGCAGATATTCCCAACCAGAAAAGTGCCCATGGAGGAAAGAAGAAGAAAAAAGAATATATAAAGAAATGCCTTCCCCCTTCATCAAGACAAGTAGAATTTCAGTAATTTATCACCTTCTCTAACATTTCAACCAAAGATCTCTTCATCCCAGATCTCATCTTTTATTTATTAGTAAATAATAAAACCTCATCATTCAGTCTTAATCAGCAAAAGTCCATTGCTGGAAATAACAATGTAACATTAAACAAGTAAATCAGTTCCCTTCCCTTCCCTTCCCTTCCCTTCCCTTCCCTTCCCTTCCCTTCCCTTCCC